GAACAGATACAGACAGCACTTACCACAGCCCCGGTACTCATCCTGCCGGATCCAGACAAGGACTACGTGGTGGAAGCAGACGCTAGTGACCAGGCAGTCGGAGCAGTACTGATGCAAGATCACGGGAACGGGTTACAGCCTATCGCCTACCTCAGTAAGAAGCTACACGCAGCAGAACTGAATTACCCCATCCACGACAAGGAAGCCTTAGCTATAGTCGTAGCCTTCAAGGCGTGGAGGTGTTACCTAGAGGGAGCCAAGACTACAGTCTATACTGACCACTGCAGTCTCAAATACCTGAAGTCGCAGCCGACGCTCTCACGACGACAGGTGCGGTGGGTGGACTTCCTGGAAACACACTTCCACTACGACATCATTTACAAGCCCGGGCTACACAACAAAGCAACGCGTTGAGCCGCCCCGGGCATGTAGCAGGCATCCAGCTCGACAGGATGAACCCTCTGCTCAAGGGTCTATTCCAACATGGGTACTCCGTGGACGCAGAAATCGCTACAGCACAGACCAAGAAGTTGTTACAGTGGGAGAAAGACTTAGCTGTAAGGAAGGGTTCAGGAAAGATTTGGGTACCGAATTACGCCCCGCTACAGCAGATCCTATTGGAGGAGTTTCACGACGTTCCTTACGCGGGACATTTCGGGAGTAACAAGACGTTAGCAGGGATAGCATAATATTACTACTGGCCTGGGATGGCAGCAGACGTGCAGCAGTTTGTCACCTCTTGCGACACGTGCCAGCGGATGAAGAGCAGCAAGCAGAAAAAAGCAGGGTTACTTCAGCCTCTACCCGTACCGGAGCAGCCATGACAGGTCATTAGCCTCGACTTCATCACAGGACTGCCTTCGACCTCACAGGGGCACGATTCCATCCTTGTAGTGATCTATAAGTTCTCCAAAATGGGTCACTTCATACCGACCAACGCCGCAGCTACAGCTGAAGCAGCTGCTCGCCTCTTCTTCGAACGCATCATCACCATCCACGGCATCCCCGCTACACTCATCTCAGACAGAGACCCCAAATTCACGAGTAAGTTCTGGAAGGAGCTCATGGGATTATTGGGGACCAAACTTGCGATGTCCTCAGCATACCACCCACAGACTGACGGACAGACAGAGCGACTCAATCAAATGGTTGAACAGTTACTGCGCACAGCTTGCAAGGACGACGTCAGCCACTGGGACACACAGTTACCGACCCTAGATTTCGCTTACAACAACGCATCGCATGCGGCCACAGGGAAAACTCATTTCTTCCTGTGTTGCAGACGGGAACCACTTACACCACAGCAGCCAACCACACCGGCACACGTCCAAGCCGCACATGACTTCGTCACCACCATGCAGCAGCTATGGGAGAAGACTCAGCGACGTCTCACCACGATGCAAAACTCCCAGAAGCAGTATGCCGATCGTCAGCGACGTGATCACACAGTAGCAGTCGGAGATCAGGTGCTTCTTGACACGCGCAACTTGAACCTGTCTCACCTCCCATCCAAACTCCGGCCTCGCTTCTGTGGTCCTTTTCTCGTTGAGGCACAGGTGACACCAGTTACATTCCGCTTGCGATTACCTACTACTTGGAAACTTCACAATGCTTTCCATGTTCAGCTACTGAAGCCCTACAAGGACCCCAACCAACAGTTCCAGGGACGGCAGCTACCGCCACCACCACCTGTTCTCATACAGGATGAACCCGAGTACGAAGTGGAGCGCGTTCTCTCTCATCGACGCCGCGGCGGCAAGACCCTCGAGTTCCTGATCCGCTGGAAGGGATACGACCCCACTGAGGACAGTTGGGTTGCAGAAGCTGATATGGGCAACGCACGCCGTACTTTCAAGGACTATCTTGTCAAGCAGGGTGTATCTCACGCCACCCAGCTTTGAGGGGGGGACGTGTGAGAGTACGACGGCTTATGCTAGCTATGCTTGCTTACCTTCACTTTATGATGCTATTTCTAGCATAGGATAATTATATGCATGTATGAATTGCTTGATTTCCTAGGCTAGGTGAACTGATTGCATATCATAAAGTGGGGAGGTGGAGACCTGACAGAGAACCGGAGGGGACTGCTGGACAAGGGAGGACCGTGGAGGCTTTCGCAACAACTGGGGCCCTAGAGGGGTCAGCCAGTGAGACTGGGACAGGTGCTGTGAGTGGTGTGACTGTGGTGCAGTCACGAAAGAAGCAACGTGACGCGCCTGAGTCAAGCGTGAAAGTGTGCAAGACCTCATCTGAGGCAGGACCTGTGGCAGTAGACGCACTAGCACCTAGAGCGTCGGCAGACTCACTAGCACCTGGAGCGGCAGCAGACTCACTAGCACCAAGAGCAGCAGCCCTAACATAACGATAACCTCCACCACCAGGACGGCCTCGCTGAACAACCCACTCACGAAGCTGCTGAGGGGTGGGGTCATCCGGGAGAGGCAGGGTTCGGTGCTGTCCACCCCTGGCCGCAGCAACTGCCGCGATAGTGGCCATGACAGACAGCGACGGTCAGGAGTAGGTCCAGCACCTCCAGCTCCTCCAGCACCAGCAGCACCTCTAGCACTCCCAGCAGCACCTCCACCAGCAGCAGCAGTAGCACGAGTAGCAGCAGCAGGGCGGCTCAGTGGGGCTGGGCGACCGCACCTCCAGCACTCCTAGCAGCACCTCCACCAGCAGCAGCAGTAGCACGAGTAGCAGCAGCAGCAATAGTTTTTTTTTTTTATTATTATTATTATATAGGGTTTAGGACTGCGCGCGGCCGGGGCTGCAGGGGCGACGCGCGGCTCGGCAGGGCGGTGCGCGGGCTGCAGAAGCGACGCCCACGTGCTGCAGGGGCGACGCGCAGCTCGGCAGGGCGTCGTGTGGGCTGTAGGGGCGGCGCGCGGCTCGGCAGGGCGGCGCCCAGGCTGCAAGGGCGACGCTCGGCTCGGCAGGGCGGCGCATGGGCTGCAGGGGCAGCGCCCACGGGCTGCAGGGGCGACGTGCGGCTCTGCAAGGCGGCGTACGGGCTGCAAGGGCGACGCGCGGCTCTGCAGGGCGGCGTACGGGCTGCAGGGGCAGCGCCCACGGGCTGCAGGGGCAACGCGCGGCTTGGCAGGGCGGCGCGCGGGCTGCAGGGGCAGCGCCCACGGGCTGCAGGGGCGACGCGCGGCTCTGCAGGGTGGCGTACGGGCTGCAGGGGCAACGCGCGGCTCTGCAGGGCAGCGTACGGGCTGCAGGGGCAGCGCCCACGGGCTGCAGGGGCGACGCGCGGATCGGCAGGGCGGCGCGCGGGCTGCAGAGGCAGCGCCCACGGGCTGCAGGGGCGAACTTGCGGGCTGCAGGGGCAGCACGCGAGCCACAGGGGCAGGCACGGCTGCAGGGGCAGCATGGTCGCAGGGGCGAGTACGGCTGCAGGGGCAGCACGGTCGCAGGGATGAGCACGGCTGCAGGGGCAGCACGGTCGCAGGGGCGAGCACGGCTGCAGGGGCAGCACGGTCGCAGGGGCAGCACGCGGGCTGCAAGTGCAGCGCGGCTGCAGGGGCGGAACGTTCGGTGGGCCCTAGGAACGATTCTGCTCTAATCCCATGTTAGAATAAGCAGGCAGGAATGAGTGGACTAGTACAAGTACCTAACCCTAAAGTGTTGTACCCCTTGTAGGCTAACCCAATATAGCCTAGAGATAACACAAACATACAGTTTGACACACCGGGCTGACGTGAACATCCAGCTGGCACGGTGTTGACCAAGTGGACGCGACCTTTATCCCATACCTAAACTAGCCAATCCGAAAGCCGCGGAATGCCAGGACGACTTGTCGCTGTAAAAACAGTTTCGCTTTCTGTAATGTGATAAACAATTGAGTTGTTTGTCATACTAAACTAGCATCGTCAAAATACCCTTCACAGTATGGAATAACGATTGAAGTTTACGAATCAAAATTTTCACGTCTCATAGTGATTGTAGAATTAATTGCACATAACCATAATTTTCGTCTTGTAAAAAGCACATTCACCATAAATAAATACAACATAGCATCAACAACGAATTAGAATTCAACAAAACATTATCAGGAAATTATTCCACCTCTGGTGAAATAACATTATACCCTACACTATATAAATCCTCAACAGATGTAACTAGTAACAACAAATGAACAGTTGTTGCTGCACAGTGAGGACACCTAGTTTCGGTCGGTGCGCAAGTCTCAACTCCAAAAGAAAGTTTCCAAACACATACGCACCACTTCCGATCTCATCCCAACACGTCAGCAACATTCGCAGACCACACCACAGAAATTTTCTCGCATGTTTCCCAACCCCTCGACATCCCCTCAACATTATGGCGACACTTTTTCCGCTAGCCCATGTTTTGCGATGCTGGTATCGTCCGCCGAAAATATATCAGCTCGTTCAGGTCGTCGCCCGGGGGAGCTCGCTGCCCGCGGGCAAAAAAAATAAACCCCAGTCGGGCATGCATCCGGTCAGGGAGGCATCAACCCTAAATCCATGCCTCCCTCTGATTTAGGGTTGATGCCTCCCTCAGATGGCATGCCATCCGATAGGGTTTTAGTTTTTTTCTGCCCGGGGCAGCAGGTCGTCAGGTCGTCACAGGTCGTCAGGCCTGACGACCCGTTTCCGCTGAGAGATACCATACAGTCAGGCGCTCCGGGAGTAGTAGTGCAGGCGAATACTCGATAAGAAGTTACATGCGTGAAATAGAAGATATCAGTGGAACCTGAACCATTCTCTTCTAATTGGCGTAAGCATGTTTTCTCATGAGAGAAATCTCTTGGCACACATACAAATACGGTAAGTGGTATATTATTCTAAGCTCAGTACAAGTTTTCCAAACATCATCTTTGAACGCCTGTTGACAATCTGGCAGGGTGAGGTGGAGGCATTATCAATCCAGAAACAAATCCTCTCGTCTCCCTCAAAAAAAGAAATATGGCATGCATTTAGAACTTCCTCCTGGTATACCATTCCTTGGTATCGCAATTTAACTCTTATTCTCCATTACTTCTGCCCACGGGTTAGCTGAGCCAGGTCACGCACGCTCATGGGAGAGATGGAGTCCTGGCGGCCCACAAACGAGTTGTGGGCGAGAATGCGGTTGAGGGACTCCGTGGGGTGGAACTGGTCCCAGAACACCGCGTCCTGCGGGCGGCTGCACTGCGATGCGGTTACCATGTTACCGCCCAGGTTGGCTGTGGTGCCGCACTGCACGAGCCCGTTGAGGGGAGGTGGGCCGCCGCAGCATGCGTTGCTGCCCTCCAGGAGGCCTGCGGGGAGGGAGAAAGAGAAGAGTGGCGAGTGTGAGACACATGGCAGTGGCAGTGAACTGTGGGCAGGGTCAGCTCTACCCAGGTTAGATGTTGTGCTGCAATGCACAGAGAGAGACGTAGCAAAGAGATAGTAACAAGGCCTTCGGGCAAATGGTACGCCGCTGCCGCAGCAGTAGCAGCAGCGGCAGCAGGGCGAATGGTAAGCAGAAGTAGCAGCAGGGAAGAGAATCAAACCTACCAACAGTGGCAGGGTCGGCAACAGCTGTCTCCACAATGCCGTACACCTTGGCCAGCAGGATCTGCGATCCCTGCAGCTCCTCTCTCAGCTTCCCCACAGCAGCAGCCAGCAGCCGGTTGTGCGCCTGCGCATACCCATTCAGCACCGCCACGCACTGCGCCTGCTGCAGCGCCTGCTGCCACAGCGGCGCGCACCCAAACGGCGGCAGCTCCGACAGCAGAAAACGCCTTGCTCCCAGCCCATACAGCCCCCTCACGTACGCCTCGATTGCGCCCACCACCGCGGACGCAAAATCCCGCGCCTGTTGGGAGCCCCCAGCAGCAAGCCTCGGAATAGTGCTCTCGTTGATACGGTCGCTGAAAAAGAGGATATGGTAGTCGTTGGCTCCGAGGCCGACGATGTGGAGTGCGGAGGAGAAGACGGCTGGGGACTTTGGGAGGAGCGGGTCGGCGCCGGCTGCTGCGTTCACGTCGGCCTGGAACTTGGCGTACCACTGCAGCTGCTGCGATGCCTGGAAGGCCGGGAGGGTCTGTGGGGGAAGGGCGCAGGACAAGAAGGACAAGGACACAGGGGCGAATGGAAAGGAAAAGAAGGGGGGCTTGCTTTGAGTGAGTTTTGAATAGGAAAAGAAGGGGTTTTTGCTCTGAGAGCCAGGAGCATATGCGAGGCTGCTACTGCGTTCACGTGGGACTGCAGTTTGGCATACCACTGCAGCTGTTGCGATGCCTGGAAGGCGGGGAGTGCCTGTGGGGGGAAGGGAAGGTCGCAGAGCACAATGGAGGAGCGAATAATTCGGGGCTTGAATGATGCTGCGATGCACAACAGGCAGGAGAAAATTTGCTGCAAGGGGTCCCGAAATACAGCATATAAGCACATAAGCATGTGGGCATTTGACTCACGTATCCCGTGATGTTGAAACTGGCGCCAGTGCTGGCGAAGCTCACTCCGAGCGTCGCATTGCGGCCCGGCTGCAGGTACGGCGGAGGTGACCCGGGGAAGCCCAGCCACTCCACTGCAGCATGGGAACGTTTGGAGAGCGGGGATGGTTAGGAGGAAAAATTATGGTTAAGAGGGGTGATGGTGAAGGTAAGGGACGATAGGTTATCTCGCTCCTTAGAAGGCATGATGATGATGCGAGAATGACGTACCGAGGTAATCGACGGTCAGCTTGCCGTCGCACACGCGGCCCGACGCGGGGATGTAGTTGTTGGAAACAATCGGTCCTAAGCGCTTCTGTCGTGTCGAAACACTAAGGCACAAGCGAAGCAAAGCATATCGAGGCACCAGCGAGTCAACCCTCGGAGGTTGAAGTAACCGCTGGAGGTTACGCGAAAGTCAAAGGTCAGCGACCTTTGACCTGACAAGTTCAGCGCGACAGCAAGGACACACAACTGACTCGCTACAGAGCAGTTGCCCGAGTCGTCACTGTATCGAACCGCAACAGCAACAAGTAAAACAGTTATAACCGTATCCTTTCATATTCCTTGTACTCTTATATAATCTTGTATCTCTTTGTTTTAATCAACTTACTTTGCCCTCACATACTAGCGCAAGGTGGTTCACAACTCTTTAATTAACGCTTCCGCTACTACACCAACTCTACCCAGAGTTCACCCCTGCAAAGATCCTAAGGGCCTTTTCAGCCCAACATGGTATGAGAGCAATCAGGGGGAATTCAACTACTATACCGACAACATCAATCACCATGGCTACACAAAAGGAAAGGAGCAACTCCAACGGCTCCCAGGGCACTACTCCTACTCCACCTCCTGCCTCTGGCCTACAGACAGAGGAGGGCACGGCAACAAGACCCAGAGCAACATCTACCGAGACTCCCGCAAATCAACCTGCAGACTTCGACCAGAGCATGATGGAGAAGTTCTTCTCCTTCATGTCCTTCTACGAGCAACACCAGCAATCGGCACCTGCGCAGTCACACAATAGCAACAACAACGGAGCAACACCCATGAGTCTCGACGGCTCATCATATGCACGAGGAAATCAGCAACAGCAGCCCACCTTTGCTCCGTACGAGCGCGGGTCCATCAGCTTCATGCCACACCCACAGCCCTCACCTGGACAAGAAAAACCACTGGACGCATTACAAGTTCAGTCGCAGTTCGCACACGTTCTGAAGATGCAGACGTCAAGACCCTTTGATGGAAAGGACTTCTTCACCTGGTCGTTTGAGTTCGAGCTGATGATGGAAGGCGTGCAGATACTCGGGTTCTTCGACGGGTCTCTGCCATACCCAACAAACGGCACACAGTACGAGAAGCAGCAATACACCTATCAGTCAATGATGGCGTACACGATCCTACTGAGGAATATCACCCCGACTCAACAGCAGAACATAAGGTCTTACCGAGGTTACGGCAACTCCGCGGAGCTCGCGTACAACCACCTGAAGAGCCTGTATCAAGCAACAGACAGCGTAAGCCAAAGTCGGTTAATGGCGCAACTGACAACGGTTGAAATGAAACCAGGGGAGAAAGGAATGGCGTATATCAGCCGATGTCGCGAGTTGCGCGACAAGCTCCTTCGATGCGGAGGATCGGTCTCTGAAGACGCCTTCGTGACAGTCATCATCGGCGGCCTGGGTCCTCAATGGCGCGCCACAAAGGCCATTCTCCGAGCTCACGGAAGAATCTCCGAAGCAGCGCTCTGCGCCGAAATCCACGCCGAGCAGCAAGACATGGACCTGCAAGAAGAACGACACAAAAAGAAAACATCAGCACCGGAATTCGCGTTCCACACTCAGCGACGCTACAACAACAACAACAACCGGCAGCAACAACCGAAGCTAGTACCTCCGTTCTGCCACATCTGCAAAACTTCAGGACACCCGTGCACGCACTGCCCGAATCGTCAACAGTCAACAACTCCACAGCGGCAACTTCGACCTTCAAGCAGCCAAATCGCCTCAACGCAAGCAAATCCCACGACTCAGATTCAAGCTTCAACGACCTCAACAGGACAACCTGCACAAGGAGCAAGAAACATCGTCAACTGCATGGCAAAGCTGAGTGACTCCTGCATCACCGAGTCACCGCCACACTACTCACCGGAAGAGCAACTCGACGAAACCACACCCCGCCGCGAGTCACTTCAGCCGAACCCGACATACGCCGCCATCGCCCAAAGCGAACCATCTGGAAGGGACACATGGTTCTTGGACAGTTGCTGCGGACAGCACATGTGCTCCTCGGGACGCTTCGTTCAACGAGAACACCAACTTCAACGCGAAGTTGTCATTACAGTCGCCAACAATCAGAACCTGCGAACACGACGACAAGGAGTAGTTCAACTTCAGTCAAGGGAAACAAACGTTGTACTGCAGATGTCAAAAGTACTAATCGCGGAGGGACTCGGCTACAACTTACTGAGCGTCAGTCAGCTAATGGCAAAGGGGATTCACCTCGAAGCAGACAGCACCACCCAAGAATTCAAGCTTTATCACGGGAGAGGAGGACTCTACATCGGCAAGGCGGTCCTCAAGAACAACGTCTTCGTTCTTGACTTCGTTCCTGACCTTGGCACCGCCGACAGCGACGCCATCGTTAACTTCACCGACTGGACACACCCTCCAGACCTAGATCCGGACTTCAGTCCAGAAGGCTTCTGGTATTCACACACCATCCCTGAAGCAGAAAGAACAAGGGCGTTAGCAACAATTCAGACAACAGCAGCAGCAGAGACAACATCGGCAGCAGCAGAGACAACGTCGGCAGCAGCAGAGACAACATCGGTAGCAGCAGAGACAACATCGGCAGTAGCAGAACCATCAACGGCAGCAGCAAGAACGTCAACACCAATTGCTGGTCCTTCAACGACACCGCTCCTCATCGACGACACACCACCGACACCCGCGCAACAACTTCACCCAGCACCACGAGAAGTTCATCGTAGCGCCAACTTCACCGCCAACTTCTACTCCAACTCAGATATGTACCGACGATCACCCGGACATCGCGCCGACGAAAGCACCTGGCATGCAAGGATGGGACACCCAAGCAACACAGTATTAAACAATACGATAAGAGCAGGAGTACTCGACAAGGACTCACTTCTACTGACCGACGGACGAGAACTTCAACGAGTACGCGGAACGTGCCTCACCTGCCCTGAGGGTGACTTACCACATCGACCGTTTGCGTCTCATCACAACCCGAGCGCACCCGCGTACGCACCACTCGAGAAGGTGTATAGCGACATCCTGTACAATCGGGAACCAGGACAAGTAATATACAACTATACAATCACCTTCATCGACGCCGCCACCGGTTACGTCTGGCACCTAAACCTCCCTAGCCGCAACATGGCATTCGTAGCCTTCGTTGCCTGGCTACCAGTAGCAGAGAGAGAATCAGGCGTGAAGCTGAAAAGCTTCCAGTCAGACGGAGGAGGAGAATACACCTCTCAGCGATTCAAGTAGTACCTGGCGGAAAGGGGAATCAAGCGACTCATCTCCCTTCCCTACGCCCATCAGCAGCAGGGTGTAGCAGAAAGAATGAACAGGACCTTGCAGAACAGCATGCGCAAACTGTTACGTGGCATGCGGCTACCCAACCACCAGTGGCCTGCAGCAATGGACCACGCCGTCATGCTGCACAACTTGCTGTCGTCATCATCGCTTCCGAACAACGCATCACCCTTGCGCCCCACGACGTGCTTTCGCGCCCACCTCTCGCATTCCGCCGCTTGTTCCCCTCATTAGTGCCCATGTGTGTCAGACTGGTCCTACGACTACGTTTGGTGACACTGACATGAGCGGGTTGCGCGCATGGGTCCATCTACGGTAGCTACAACTATTCTCACGCAGTGTTTATGTTATGTCGGACAAGGCTGCCCCCCACACACATTCGGCATTATATTTAAATATTAGACATGTCACAATTGGCAAGTAACTGTTGTTGGGCTGAAAAGGCCCTTAGGATCTTTGCAGGGGTGAACTCTGGGTAGAGTTGGTGTAGTAGCGGAAGCGTTAATTAAAGAGTTGTGAACCACCTTGCGCTAGTATGTGAGGGCAAAGTAAGTTGATTAAAACAAAGAGATACAAGATTATATAAGAGTACAAGGAATATGAAAGGATACGGTTATAACTGTTTTACTTGTTGCTGTTGCGGTTCGATACAGTGACGACTCGGGCAACTGCTCTGTAGCGAGTCAGTTGTGTGTCCTTGCTGTCGCGCTGTACTTGTCAGGTCAAAGGTCGCTGACCTTTGACTTTCGCGTAACCTCCAGCGGTTACTTCAACCTCCGAGGGTTGACTCGCTGGTGCCTCGATATGCTTTGCTTCGCTTGTGCCTTAGTGTTTCGACACGACAGAAGCGCTTAAGACCGATTGTTTCCAACACTCCCCTTCGCTTCTGGAGTGTCGCTGACGTGGCTCTGTCCAGTCAGCAGCATGCAGTATTCGAACTTCTGCTTTCCGAGCTTCTTGGTCAGGTAGTCAGCTGCCATCTCGGACGTGGGGCAGTATGACAGCTCGAGCCTTCCCTTCTCGATCTCGTCCTTCACGAAGAAATATCGCAGGGCGATGTGTTTCGTCCTGTTCGCGAAGCCGTTCTTGTTGGCGATGCGAATTGCCGATTGGTTGTCGCAGAACGAAGCGTCCCGAGGAGCACATGTGCTGTCCGCAGCAACTGTCCAAGAACCATGTGTCCCTTCCGGATGGTTCGCTTTGGGCGATGGCGGCGTATGTCGGGTTCGGCTGAAGTGACTCGCGGCGGGGTGTGGTTTCGTCGAGTTGCTCTTCCGGTGAGTAGTGTGGCGGTGACTCGGTGATGCAGGAGTCACTCAGCTTTGCCATGCAGTTGACGATGTTTCTTGCTCCTTGTGCAGGTTGTCCTGTTGAGGTCGTTGAAGCTTGAATCTGAGTCGTGGGATTTGCTTGCGTTGAGGCGATTTGGCTGCTTGAAGGTCGAAGTTGCCGCTGTGGAGTTGTTGACTGTTGACGATTCGGGCAGTGCGTGCTGCCGGTTGTTGTTGTTGTTGTAGCGTCGCTGAGTGTGGAACGCGAATTCCGGTGCTGATGTTTTCTTTTTGTGTCGTTCTTCTTGCAGGTCCATGTCTTGCTGCTCGGCGTGGATTTCGGCGCAGAGCGCTGCTTCGGAGATTCTTCCGTGAGCTCGGAGAATGGCCTTTGTGGCGCGCCATTGAGGACCGAGGCCGCCGATGATGACTGTCACGAAGGCGTCTTCAGAGATCGATCCTCCGCATCGAAGGAGCTTGTCGCGCAACTCGCGACATCGGCTGATATACGCCATTCCTTTCTCCCCTGGTTTCATTTCAACCGTTGTCAGTTGCGCCATTAACCGACTTTGGCTTACGCTGTCTGTTGCTTGATACAGGCTCTTCAGGTGGTTGTACGCGAGCTCCGCGGAGTTGCCGTAACCTCGGTAAGACCTTATGTTCTGCTGTTGAGTCGGGGTGATATTCCTCAGTAGGATCGTGTACGCCATCATTGACTGATAGGTGTATTGCTGCTTCTCGTACTGTGTGCCGTTTGTTGGGTATGGCAGAGACCCGTCGAAGAACCCGAGTATCTGCGCGCCTTCCATCATCAGCTCGAACTCAAACGACCAGGTGAAGAAGTCCTTTCCATCAAAGGGTCTTGACGTCTGCATCTTCAGAACGTGTGCGAACTGCGACTGAACTTGTAATGCGTCCAGTGGTTTTTCTTGTCCAGGTGAGGGCTGTGGGTGTGGCATGAAGCTGATGGACCCGCGCTCGTACGGAGCAAAGGTGGGCTGCTGTTGCTGATTTCCTCGTGCATATGATGAGCCGTCGAGACTCATGGGTGTTGCTCCGTTGTTGTTGCTATTGTGTGACTGCGCAGGTGCCGATTGCTGGTGTTGCTCGTAGAAGGACATGAAGGAGAAGAACTTCTCCATCATGCTCTGGTCGAAGTCTGCAGGTTGATTTGCGGGAGTCTCGGTAGATGTTGCTCTGGGTCTTGTTGCCGTGCCCTCCTCTGTCTGTAGGCCAGAGGCAGGAGGTGGAGTAGGAGTAGTGCCCTGGGAGCCGTTGGAGTTGCTCCTTTCCTTTTGTGTAGCCATGGTGATTGATGTTGTCGGTATAGTAGTTGAATTCCCCCTGATTGCTCTCATACCATGTTGGGCTGAAAAGGCCCTTAGGATCTTTGCAGGGGTGAACTCTGGGTAGAGTTGGTGTAGTAGCGGAAGCGTTAATTAAAGAGTTGTGAACCACCTTGCGCTAGTATGTGAGGGCAAAGTAAGTTGATTAAAACAAAGAGATACAAGATTATATAAGAGTACAAGGAATATGAAAGGATACGGTTATAACTGTTTTACTTGTTGCTGTTGCGGTTCGATACAGTGACGACTCGGGCAACTGCTCTGTAGCGAGTCAGTTGTGTGTCCTTGCTGTCGCGCTGTACTTGTCAGGTCAAAGGTCGCTGACCTTTGACTTTCGCGTAACCTCCAGCGGTTACTTCAACCTCCGAGGGTTGACTCGCTGGTGCCTCGATATGCTTTGCTTCGCTTGTGCCTTAGTGTTTCGACACGACAGAAGCGCTTAGGACCGATTGTTTCCAACAACTGTAAGTGGATTTATGCAATGATGTGTTGATATTCCCCCACACATCCCGATTCTCTGAAGGTGGAACGTGCGTGAATGTGGAACTTCATGTCACACATGTAAGGAAACCCTAAACCGCAGGGGATAGTGTGCAGTCTCTCCTTCCTTTCAACTTACAACCGGGTGGTACGTCATGTTGGCACATCTAGTAAAAGGAGCACTCAAAGTTATACAATATTCACAGCGCTAGTGCCTTCTCCACATGTAAGGGCTTCCCCTTAGTAAGTGTCCCCAGGCTACTGGTCAGCGTATATGTTGCATATACTGTGGAGGTGGAAGTTCCCTATTAGGAATATGTCATGTCGTCACTGAATCATGTATAGGCGGGGCTTCTTGACTATGTGGCTGCCGGGACCGGGGCAAGAAGGGCCGCACCACCGTTACACTTCTGGGATTTGACTTGAGTTACTGGGAGGAGTTGTTGATTAGGGTCCTGAGAGAGGGGGGAGTTGGGGGGGGGGGGGGGGGGGGTGGAGGGGTGGGGAAGGGAAGGTGGCACGGCGGAAACGGTACAGGAGAGAGGAGCGAGGGAGTAAGGGCTGAAGTGTGGAACGAGGTTGGGTTGTTGGAGCTGAGAGAGGAGAGGAAGGGATGAGGTGGGGTGGTCGGGAGCAGCAGCAGGGAGGACGGGATGTGAGATGGGAGGACGGGATGAGAGAGCGGAGGAAGGGCAGAGTGTTGGGATAGGGGGGATGATATGAGGTTGGAACGAGGGAGGAGAGGAGGTATGGAGGAAGGAAGGAACTGAGGAAGGGAAGATGGCTGGAGATGAAGAGGACAGGGTGTAGAGTGGAAGGGTTGGGGGAAGAGTGGTCAAGGGGGGAAGAGGGGGACAAGGAGGGGGGGAGTAATGTGGAGCGTGGAGAAGGAGGGGATAGAAGGTGCCTCAGAGTGCAATGCAGCACGGACAAGGGTCGGATGGAAAAGGGACGTGCATCACTGTAATTATGAGCGCCATGGTGCCGCGGAGGACAGACTTGGGGCGGATGAACGAGGAACTATGTTGGGGTCACGGGAGTACTGGGGTGACGAGGGGGGCTGGAGGAGGGAGGGACGGGTGCATGTGGGAGGAAGAGGGGAATGCGGATAAAGGGAGAGATGAGAGAGGGATCATGCTCCTGGCGCCTAAACCATGGGGAAGGGGAGGGGGGGGGTGAGGAGTGAGAAGAGGGTGTGGGTAGAGTGGAGTGGGGCTGTGTTGAGTGGGGCTGTGTTGCAAGTGGCAGAGGTGAGGAGGAATGGAAACCGGTGTGCACTCTCTTGTATTCCTACCCTCCCTCCCTCCCCCCCCTCCCCCCTCGTAGGAGGTGAGGAAATGGGGTATGAACGATGGGTGTATGGAGGAAGGAAGGAACTGAGGTAGAGGAGTGGCCGGAAAAGTGTGAGGACATGGTGGATAGCGGAGGACAAGGGGGAGAACGGTCAAGGAGGGGGGAGAGGAGGACACGGATGGGGAAGGGGAAGTGCGAGGCGGGGAAAAGGGGAGGAGCGACCTGGGGGGGAAGAGGAAGTGGGAACTCCAGGGAAGGGGAAGCGCGACCTGGAGGAAAGGGGGGGAGGGACATGGGGGGGAAGGGTTTGTGGTACCTGGGGGGAAGGGTAAGTGCGTCCTGGAGGCGAGTGGGGAGGACGGGATGCGAGAGGGGAGGACGGGATGCGAGAGGAGAGTGAGGGATGAGAGAGGAGAGGACGGGATGAGAGAGGAGAGAGGGGGATGAGAGAGGGGCGGGAGAGATGAGAGAGGGGAGGACGAGATGAGAGAGGAGAGGGAGGGAGGAGAGATGGGAGGACGAGATGAGAGATGAGAGTGAGGGATGAGAGAGGAGAGGACGGGATGGGAAAGGAGAGGGAGGGATGAGAGAGGGGGGGACGGGATGAGAGAGGGACGGGAGAGATGAGAGAGGGGATGACGGGATGAGAGTGGAGAGGGGGGGATGAGAGAGGGGAGGACGAGATGAGAGAGGAGAGGGGGGGATTAGAGAGGGGAGGACGGGATGAGTGAGGAGAAGACGGGATGAGTGAGGAGAAGACGGGATGAGAGAGGGGAGGCACTGATCTGAGAGGGGAAGAAGGTGGGGGCATGAGTGCACACAGGCCCACAGGCTGCGATGCGGCAGGCGGCGACCTGTCCGAGTGGCGGGGAGTTGGCGATGTGGCGGCGAGGCTACGACGGCACGTCGACGAGGATGTGACGCGGCTATCTTACCTCCCTGTGGACGAGGGGGCGATGCCGGGGCGCGGCGGCAATGTGGTGGTGAGGCTGCGACGCATTGCACCGTGGTAACCGTCGCGCCGACCCTCCTACCACTTCGTCGCGGCCTAATCTCGTTCTCCGGATTTTTGGTTGACGCGCCGCGATGTGCCTCTACGGAAGGCGTGACTGCGCAATGGCGGCAAAGAGGGTGTCAGGCGGCAGTGCATCCCGCAGGGCGCGGGAGAGATGCATCGTGGAGGATCTTCGCCGTCGCGGCGGGAGGAAACGACCCCCTAAACACGGCGAGGAGGGGGTCACTCCGTTTGTGGTTCAGCCACAGCATCAAATTCCCACGATCCGATAACGACTCGCAGCAGTGACTGACATCTCTGCGACCTACACGAAATGTGGCCTTATGCGAGCGAGATCGAAACCCTAAACACGTTTGCGATCCATGCTAAGCACTAAGTCGTAGTGACTTGTTCTCCGTTTGCTCAGTTCTTCTGTCATTCTATTAGCTTGCTCAAAATCTACTGCTCTGTTGAACCTCGCAAACTGACGGGGACATTTTCTAAGATCCCCGCTTTTTGGGGGCGCTGGGGGCTTGCGTTCCGCCCAACCCCTTCCTTTGCGTTCCCCCAAATCCTGGGCGAATTCGAGTGGCCTCGCTAGTGTGGTGTCGTCACCTCGCACCAGGCATACAACTGGAACCAATTTTCGCTCGCGAATCACTGGGCATCAAAGGGTGTACATGACAATAACCCCAAAAACCACCCCTAGGAATGTGCACCCTTGCTTTAAGTATGGCTTTGTGCCGCTCCGCTGCAGAACTGCTGCCAGTTTCTGAGATTGACACGGCTTGATTTGAGATTCTCAAACTGGCGGGAATTGCGTTTCCACCACTTCGGCTGCCGTCAAATGATTGGTCGATGATCTATCGCGCACTGACATGTTGCATCCACATGATTTGCGAGGATAGCTTGGGGTAATGTTACGAGTGCAATTGAGTTGTTAGGAATTTTCCTAATTCCATACTGAGGCACTCCGTACGCGTACAATTCCAACTTTCCGGAACTCAGGCTGGCTCGCCTTCCGAACGTCCTTCGCGTCACCTTCGGGTTTCCCAACCCCAAACCTGCACCCAACCTTCGCGCGAATCCGCGACCTTGCCATAGCTAGCTTTGCTATATTATGCCTAGGCCTCGTTGTTTGCGCAGTAGTTGTAATCACTTCCGCGATATTGCATTCTGCGCACTCTTCTTTCGTACAACTCATAACACTTGGTATCAGAGCTACTTTCCTAGGTTACCCTCCAATTTTCGGGGTAGTTTAGTGCAGGGGTGCGATAGACTTGGTGGGCTGCAAAGCGGTCGGCTGAGAGATAGATACGATTATCTCGCTCCGACTAATAGCTTTTGCGCCTTCATCAAAGTAAAAAAAATCGATGTTAACCCGCTGCCCGTTAGGGGAAGTCTTAGAAATATGGACCAGGCTGAGTTTAACCGTTTCATGCAGGACTTTCGGGCGATGCAATCCAGCATGCAGACTATGTCTGACGAGTTGGAGCGCCTGAGGGTGGAAAACGCCGAACTACGCCAGGCGCGAGGTGAAGCGCGCCAGGAGTCGCCCGTCGTGGATGAAGCAAGTAGCAACTCCTCACTCAACGGGAACGTGTTTTACAAGCTGGATGCTTCACAGGACGCTGAAGAGGAGTGGGTGGCACGACAGCAAGAAACACGGGAAGCGCCAGGATAGCAACCACAGGAGCAGGCAACGCCAAGGCAATAGTCGCAAACACTGCCACGACAGGCACCAGCGACAACCCCGGCGATGGCTTCAGTGGCGCCCCCCGATACATGCAGCATCAACAGTCTCAACAAAACTGACAAACCCGCCCCCGTTCAGCCCCAGCGACAAAACCGTCACTGTGTCCGCGTGGTTGTTCGACGTGGAGGTTTTCTTCAATGCTGCGCAAATTGCTGACGATGTCGCCCGCATTAATTTTGCAGTGTCACTGTTACGCGGACCTGCGTTGGAGTGGTGGAAGCGGACCCTTCAGACAGAGGGGACTTCGGCAGGACTGTCACATGCGAACGACGGGACCTGGACATCTGTCACGCAACGAGCAACTACAATCTTCGGAGTGGCTACTTGGACGAAGTGGGGCGCCGCGGTGCGAGTCAGATTCGAGCATGTACCCGCCTCGGATTCTGCTCGCATGAAGCTGCGTACCTGGAAGTACGTGGCGTCGATCCAAGACTACACAGCGACGTTTTGCAATTTGGCCGACCAGGTGGACGATATGAGTGACGCGGAGCGACTCGACCGATATGTCGCAGGCATCAAATACGAAGTACAGTACGAGGTGCGACGGACGAGGCCACGCGACTTCCTTGATGCCGTCCAGATGGCCGAATCAACGGACGCGCTGATGCAGTGGGCAAGGATGAGTTTCCGGGAGGGCACTCAATCTCGTGGACCGCCGTGCCAGCCCACAATCAACGGTGCGGATGCGCCAAGACGTGAACCTAACACGTGCTTCAACTGCAACCAACCGGGCCACTGGAAGAAGGACTGCCCGAAGCTGAAACAGGGAAACAGGAACGACGGAGAGGGGTCGGGAAAAAAGACGAGTCAGTAGAAGTCGGGCCACCTACTGATGAGACCCCGTCGCCCGGCAATCACCATCCACACCGAGTAGTGGTACCGATACGGGCTATCGACAGCAACCGGACGAATAAAGTGGATGAACATGTAGATCACCCTGTGCTGGTCGTGGGGAGGGTTAACGGTTATAAAATAAAACTTTTCGTTCACGGTGGGGAGAGCCATAGTCTCGTCAACCTGGCAACGGCCAAGAAAATCGGAGTCAAGCTGGACAGGTGTCTGCCCGAAATTGACGCGCGACTGGTGGACGGGACACCGCTGGCGATCAAGGACGAGGTGCGACAAATTCGGATGAAGTGCGGCGATGATTTCGGGTTTTCAATGAAGATGCTGGCGACACCACCAGACGGTTGCGATGTGCTGCTGGGACGAGATTGGCTACATCGATTTAATCCGACGATCGACTGGACGACGGAAGCAATCACGGTGCTGTGCAACAAAGGGCGCGTGACACTTCCGAAATGGATGGAGCCGGAGCAGGGCTGTCGATTCACGGACATTTGTCCGTTTTTCTTGAGAATTCAGGGCTGGTTTCGACTCAGCTCCGAGATTTTCAGGGTCGGTTTTGCCCTTGGGCCGGAACCTAACGGACTGATTTCGGGCCTAGCCCGCCCACGTACGACACCCCCCCCCCCCCCCCCCCCCCCCCCCTCCCCCCCCCCCCCCCCCAAACTTCCCTTCCCTGAATCCCTGCCCTCCTTTAGGTTTCTTGACCCAATCGCGTTTGGCCCCAGGATAGTTGGAACCAGTGGCTGGCGAGCGTTGGAGGGGACATTCTCATTTTGCCAGAACGGCTTCCCTCCAGCAGGCTCCAGCCAGCCAGTCCTCCCGTTCCCAACTTCCCATCCCGCCAAAGTCCAGCCAGACCAGAGAGAAAGAAGAGACCAGAGCGCGCGCAGCGCACGCACACCTCGTCGTCGTCAGTGAAAACAAGCCACCGCACACCCAACCCCACCCCATCCCACCCCACCCCGCCACGCCACACCACACCAAGGCAAGAAGGAAACACACAATGTGAGGATCTAGGATCGAGCTCAGAAAAGAGAGTTTGAATTGAATGATTCACCTGGGTACAACACGAGGCTATATATAGTCTCGACACAAGGCCAGTTACCGGTGTTACGCGAATGTTCTGAGGGTCGCGAAGCGTCCCGAACAGAACCTTCTCAAACTCAGTAGAAAGCAATTCGGTGGCTACCGAAAAGGCTTGAGTTCGGTACACGTAACCTGGTTCGGTGCTATAACTATAACAAAATATAGAAATGCACCTAACTTAGGAAATCAAGCATATCTATGCATGATAAATAAAACTCAAGCTAGATATAGCATAATTAAGTTCAGGCAAGCTAGCAAAGCCAGCATAAGTCGTCGTACTCTCACACACACCACCACCACACCACACACCTCTTCACCAAACAGAAAAGGAAGAACACAAAAACACAACACACCACCACCACCAGACTGTGTGGAAGTAGAGTTGAACATAAAACATTAGCTTCATTAGAGGAGGAAACAAGCATACATAGGTTGGATGAGAAGCTTGGAGGGGAAAGGTTGGGTTGGCTATAGGTTGGGTTGGCCTCACTTTGGGAAGTGAGGCAACCTAAGGCCGAATGGGTTGGGTTGCCAACACTTTGTGGGAAGTGAGGCAACCTGAGGCCCACTCGGGTTGGGTTGGCCTCACTTTTGGGAAGTGAGGCCACCTTAGGCCAAGTGGGTTGCAATTGGGGGCTCCACCATAATTTGGATGGATTGGCACCCCAATGCAAGTCTACACCCAAAGTTGGGTGTAGTCCCAACCCAACTGTACACCACAATTGGTGTACAGTCACAAGTGTTAGCATGCTAGAACATATAATTCTAACACAACCCCTTAGCACGCTAACACAAGAAGAGAACAACCCCTGAATCAAGGGGCGCCCGAGCGAGCAAGGCCAATGAGACGGAGGAGAGCAGAGTGTGCAGGGCGAAGGAGGGATTTGGTGAAGATGTCGGCCAAGTTGGCCTCCGCCGCAATCTTCCTCACAACAATGAGGCCTTGCTGGACGAGCTTGCGGATGAAGAAGTAGCGGAGCTCGATGTGCTTGGAGTGGGCGTGATAGACGGGTCTTGGGTGAGGTGGATGGTGCTGGCATTGTCACACTAGAGAGTGGGGCAGGGCTGTGGGGTGCCAAGTTCAGCAAGAAGAAAGCAGAGCCAGCGAGACTCCTGGGCGGCCATGGTGCCAACGTAGAGCTCAGCCTCGCAGGTGGAGAGAGAAATCGCAAAGGGGCGAGTGGAGCTCCAGTTGATGAGGCCACTGCCAAGGGTGAAACCGTAGCTCTGGGAGGAGCGGCGGTCCGGCTGGCAGTCAGCCTAGGAGGAATCACTAAAGCCCGAGAGGAGAGGAGGGGAGGGGCCGCCAAGGGTGAGGACATGGTCCTTGGTTCCCCGAAGGTAGTGGAGGACCCGCTTGGCAGCTTTCCAATGCTCCTCAGTGTGACGACCAGTGCCAACGAAGCGTGCGAGCACGCTGATGGGGTAGGCTAGGTCGGGGCGGGTGCACATCATCGCGTACATCAGCGTCCCAACGAGCTCGGCATAGGGGTGAGGGGAGGAGGAGGGAGAATTGGGAGGGGCGAGCTGGTGACCGAACGGGAGGGGGTTGGACACGGGCTTGGCCTGCGCCATCTCAAACTTCTCTAAGACCAGGCCGATGTAATGGGATTGGGAGAGAGTGATGGTGTGAGCAGGGCGGTTGCGCGTGATGGTCATGCTCAGGTAGTGTGTGAGATCGCCCAGGTCCTTGCATTTGAGACGCTGTTGCAGTGACAGCTTCATCTGCGCCATGTCATCCTTGGAGTCAGAAAGCAGGATCATGTCATCCACATACACCAAAATGAAGAAGCGGCGAGGGGAGGA